GTCTGTTGCGCGCCATCGATCAATCAATAACTTGCTCTGGTATCATGTAGATTTTACGATTTTTGGATCATTTTCGATAAGATCGTAAGAGAAAATTGTTTGGGAATTTTTCAGATATTTTCATTCACCTCAAAAATGAGCTAAGAGCTCAGTACAAATACAACGAAGAAGACGAAAAATGTGATACTCGTGAGCTAAGGGCCAATCCCAAGCTTACACGTGGCAGCACTTAACAAAGAAAAAATATAACCGAGAATATAAAAACAACTTTACAAGTGAGTTACGTACGTCTTTAGTAAAAACAAACACAGGGAAAATAGAATCACGAAATAAAGAAACATCACGACATAGTCCTTGAACTGTAATGCATGAAATCTGTTATTCCCGTGCACATAATCCTACCATACTTAACAAGCTTCCCTCCGCGTGAAGCGTTCTCCGACCATCCGTGAATTTTCTTCCGTCTGTTTTATTTCTTCTCAGCTTTTTCTTTCCCGTGGCTGCCTCGGCTTTTTGTCCTTCTGTCTATAGGGGAGTGCTCCTAATTTCTTTTATCTTCGTACGACTCTTTTTAATGTTTGTTGCATGTTCAGGCAAATAAATCCTCACTATCTGTTCTAACTTTGGGCAGCGTGTCCTGACAGATAATCCACTACCCCAATATGTGATTTACACTCCAAACCTTGGCCCAATTCGTGGCCCATCTTGTTTTAAAATGTCAATTTTTGAGAAATTTACTCACGTTACTATGGTTTTGTTAAATATTATTATTAATACGAAGTCAAAAACTTTTAATTATAAATACGTTTTCTTAAACAACTACCCACTACACACATAATTAATGATGATTTACTCTCTTGCATGAATATCGGGAAGCATGATAATCTTATTCCTTCTACACTCAACTATAAAACAAGAAAAAAATATGCTTTTCTCTCTCCATATCTTGGTTTTCGTGTATCCTCCTTACAAGGAACCAAAAATACTCCATCTCCCCCAAACACACAAATAAACTTATCCTGAATTTGAAGCTCCGAGCCATTCCAAAAAAATTAAATTCCAAGGCGGTCGAAGATAATTTAGACGAAGACGAAAATTCGGTGTCTGAACACAAAATAAATAAAAAAAAGATGTCCGGCGACATGAAGGAGACGTGGGTTAGAGACGACAAGGGTATAGCACAACACCTCTATTGAAAAAACCCTATCAATGGCGAGGATGCCGATTCGAAGCCTCTGGCCCATGGAGACTACCCATCGAAGCAGATGTCGGCATCCTTCGGTGGAGGTGTCGTTAAATCAAATGAGTGAATCTACTGTTATCCACGGCGGCATTGTTGTTGTCACTGGTATCGAGAAGAAGATGAAGCGCGCGGAGCGGTTGGGCATGCCGGTGTAGTTGACTGAAGAGGAAAAGCTTAATTCCCGATATGTGCGCGTCACCACGAAGGAGTGTAGTAAACATATACACAAATTATACGTTAGTTATACATAATTTTTACTGTGTTTTTTTTTTTTTTTTTTAGTGCGGAAAGTTGTTGGTTGAACTTTGTAAATGTCATGTAAAGTAGATATGTGTTGTTTATCTTATGTATAACTACGTTCAATTTGGATTTTGCAGTCATTCAAAATTGTGTAGTATGTTTTTATCTCGTTTTAGTGTGGTTTATCTTATGTATAATAATTGTTTATCTTATGTATAATAATCTTAGAGCACTGTCATATCATGTTTATTTGACGTATATGTATACAATATATATATATATATATATATATATATACAAATTTCGAAGAACAATTTTTTTCTTTCCAATCCATTTAAAATTGTATATTATGTTTTCATCCCGTTTTAGTGTTGTTTATCTTATGTATAATAATCTTAGAGCACTTTCAGATCATGTTTATCTTACGTATATATACAGTATATATATACAAATCGCGAAGAACTGTCAGATCATGTTTATCTAACGTATATATACAATATATATATACAAATTGCGAAGAACAATTTTTTCCTTTACAATCCATAAATTCTAGGCTTTAGATTTGTTTTTTTTTTTTGTTTGTGATTTTTCTTTTTGCTTGCGGATTTTTAGCTCTAAATGAATTAGATGCATAGTTTTTAATTGAAGAGAGAAACATATTTAGCCGTCCTTCAATTAAATACATGCTTTTGGATTGGAGAGAGACACATATTATAATTGGAGAGAGAAATCAATTCAATTAAAAACATGATTTTGGATTGGAGAGAGAGATGCATTCTAATTGGAGAGAGAAATATTGGGGAGAGATAAAGACTCTCGTAATAGTGAAAAAAAAGACGTCCACTAAATATCTTAATAATAAGAATTTATATAGGGTATAAGTATGTAAATTTCCCTCAATTTTTTGGTTTTTGTTTTTTATTTATTTATTTATTTATTTATTTATTTATTTTTATTTTGGCAACAATTCTGGTATTGGGCCCAAATCAAGCTCTTATACTTGCTTTGGTTTTTTTTTTTTTTTTTTT